CAGTGATGAAAATGTCAAAGAAGTGATCAAGAACTTCCAGAAATGGCCCTTGGAGCTTCAGAAACCTAACTTAATTTAAATTTGGTCATTCTTGTTTAAGACTGATCCCACAAAGGTGCACAAAAACCAAACTAAAATAAGCATGACTGCTTTTTAGGTTGATCCCTGGAAATCTTGTTATCCTCTATGGCTCTGTCATGTATTTTGGATCTCTTCCGTTGTGTCAGCTTATTTTCCCTTTCAGGAGGTGGAGGAAGTCACAGGGAAGAAAAAACAACGAGTAGATCAGGCACTGAGCAAAGATTTTGGACCTGACAGAAAATCACAAAGATCTCAAACGAATGAATCTTTGATCGATTAGTTTCTCTTTCAAGATCATGAAACTTCATCCAAAGTGCAGTATCCTTCGAAGTTTTGTAACTAAAAAGTAAAACATCTCATATTTGTTCAGACATTTTTCACACATTGTGTTACCTCTTCCATAGTTTCCTCCAGCTCCTTGTTGTGCTCCTCCATCTGTTTCCTCAAGCTGTCCAGAGCTTTGATTTCATTTTCTAGCTTCGTCACATTTTCAAGTTTCATTTTTATGTCGCTCAGCCGTGTCTGCAAAAAATTATAAATCATTAAATAATAAAATACATTTCTTTAACCCCCATTGTTTTTATATTTGTGCTCACCTGGTATCACTTGTTTACAACATACATATTAATAAGCTCGGCTGCAACTTTTAGATCATTCTCTGTAAGTTTGATCACTTACCTGTTATTTACCAGCATGACCCTCAAACTTGTGCCAAGAACAAACATGAACGTTGCTCTGCTGTAATTATCTAAAGGCATTTGAATGAGAACATTCAGCAGAAACCACCTAATCTGTGCCACTGTGCACTTTCAGCTCATTTAAGCTTCCTGTCACGTTCGGGTCAAATCTGACTGATTTACAACTTAAAACACTCATAAATATTGTGTTTCACATCTGATTGCCTCAAGGTCTTGTGATGTCCTCCACACTATGCACTTGAACATATAAAAGTGATGAATTTGTTGAATTTTGAGTGTTTTAATCAACCTTGTGACATGTGTTTGGTGTTCCTGTTCAAAAGTGTCCGCCATAGGAAATGAATGGGAATCCACTCACTCACTGAACAACCGACTGAACTGAATTTGGTGGTGAAAAATGTTTGTTATGCTAATTTAAGAGCTGTTAAAACAGACTGGTCAACCTTGACCAGGTACACTAAAGTAAGGGGCGGGAGGTAAACGCAACAGGAGGGATAGGATAAGAGTTATTGTTTGCTCTCAGCTCTGTTCTCCAGATTTGGTTCCCTGAAAATTCAACTTCTTCCCCAAAATAAAACCATTATTTTGATGGGAGTAATTTAAAGGTAGAACCAGTGTGGAAGTGTCCAGAAGTGCAGAAGGAGATGACCGTGAAATGCATAGTGGCCACATTAATCAGGTATTGTTTTTGCTGTCTGTGGGCAGAGTTGGATATCCTTTCACGAATCAAGAGGAGCGTCCGGGAGGGAGACAAGCCGAGAACGAGCCCCTCAACCCCGGACCTGGGCCCGCTGAAGGTTGCCAGGGATTAGTAGATGCAAGTGGACTTGGATCAGAGGCAAATTTTTCCGACAGAGATCG